GGTAGAGTGCTATGGCATCACAGCTCACAGCAACCTAAAACTCTTGGGCTTAAGCAATTCTCTCGCCTCAGCTTCCTGAGTAGCTGAGACTACAGGCACCCATAACACATCCAGCTATTTTTTGGTTACAGTTGTCATTGTTGTTTAGCAAGCCCAGGCCAGGCTCAAACCTGCCAGCCTCAGTGCATGTGGCCAGTGCCCTCCTCATTGAGCTACAAGTGCCAAGTCTGTCAACTCAATTTTAAACTCAAACTCAGGCACTAAGACCACCTGGGAGTATTTACTTATAAGGTGTTCCCAAAGGCTTACTTTTTAATTTATCATGTAAATTAAAATGCAGAATTTTGTTGTTGTTGTACTTTTTGGCTGGGGCTGGGTTTGAACCCGCCATCTCCGGCATATGGGGCCAGCGCCCTACTCATTGAGCCACAGGTGCCACCCAATGCAGAATTTTTTTCAATGTGAAGGAAACCCAGTTTGAGAAATCAAAACTGCCCTAGCTGCTGCTGCTGCTGAACAAAGCAGAGCACAGAAGCTTCCCTGGCCACAGGGATAAGCATGAAACATTTAATGCAAGCACTTAGCTAAGTGCCGGCCTGACTTCCCTACTTTGCTCTCTACCAGACCCATGTAGTCAGCATATTACTATCCTCACTTTACAAACGTGGAAGGTGTCCCACAAAGGTTGCATAATGTACCCAGAGATACAGCTAAGAAGTGTCCTCGGCAGGAGCCAAACTTGACTTTTCCTGGCTCCTGCACCTGTTCCTTCCGCTGTAATTTGTGCCATCTCCCCCAGCAAGCCTGGCCAGAGAGTGAGCCCTCAGCAGTGCATGAACACAGGGGGCCTGGGATGGTGTCTTTAGTGGAGTCCCCTATAGCTGTGGGGACCAATGGTGGCCAAGAACAGAACACTATGGCCTTGCTTCTCAGGTGCCCTGAGTTCTGGCCCTGTGGCAGGACTTATGCCACCTTACCTCTGCCAGGTACCCCTCTGCCCCAATTTCAGGGCCCCAAGGGACTGGCAGGAGGTCGCCATACTACTTAGGGCAGGTGCTGGGCCTCCCTGAGGCTGGACTGACCAAGTTCTTCCCAGATGCTGAATCAGGGTCCCCAAGGCTACCAGTCTATGGCCAGCCACCCTGCTTTGGTCAGAGAGAATAAGAGGGCAGATGAGTTCAAGTGAACCCTGATGCTGAGCTTAGGTGAGAAGGAGGTTGGTGCACCCTCAGAGAGGAGGCTTTCTGTCCCCAAGATCCCCATAGGGGTGCCGGGTCAATGAGAGCCGCCTGCCTGCTTCCTTCCTGGCCTTGGTGTTCAGGTATTAGTGAGGCTGCTTGCAGCTCTGGAACCTTAGGGAATGCACTGAACCTTTCTGACCTCAGTTTCCCAGTCTATGAAATGAGGAGGTCTAGGAGATGTGGGAGCCTTGGGAGATGGCTCTAATTCCCCCTCTGCCACCTGAGAGCTCTCTCCTTGCTAACCAATTCTCCAGCCCCATTTACTCCCCTTGAGAAAGGCATGAGACTGGGCCAACTATGCAGAATTCAGCTGCTCAGAGGAAGATTCCGTGCAGAAAGCCCCAGGAATCCCACATACCCTGCCGGCAGCACGTGGGCCAAGGGAAGTTGAAGCTACAGGTGAGGGTGGAGCGAGGTGGAGCGCGGGCACCCAGAGGCTGGCAGGGGCGGGAGATGGCCAGTGCAGTGAGCGGTCCGGACACGCAGGCGGCAGGGCCTCGCGGCTCCCACCAGGGGGCGCTCCACACTAGGGCAAGCCTGGGCGCTCCTCCGCCGCGGCCCCGAGCGGCCCTTCCCGGCAGAGCTCAGCCTCACTCCCGGACCGGTTTTTCAGTCCCGGCTGCAGAAGCCTCATAGCGGCCAAGGACCGCCATTAGTGCAGCATCCCCAGGGGCACCGAGGAGCCAGGAAGCCTGGATCCTGCCTGATGATGTGCAGTCCAGGCTGTATTCCCTGCCCTGCTCGCCCTCTCGTCACATGGGGGACGGGGGCAGGGCCAAGGCCAGGGCACCCAGGGTGAGAGAGGGGGCAGGGAGCCCAGAGCTCCTCCAGGCAGTGAGGAAGGATCCCCAGGAGGGCTCGGGGCAGCCGAGGTGGAGGCGAAGATGCCCGGCCCGACGCACGCAGGTGAGCAGACCCCGTCCGACCCCCTGTCCTGGGAGCCTGGACCAGACCTCTGGGCTAGGGTGCAGCGCTCATGACCCCGCTCTGGGGGGTGGATGAGAAGGCATGGGGTTTACCCATGGGAGAACAGGACAACGGGGCTGTGTGTCTGAGCTTGAAGGATGGTATCAGTCTCCCACCTCAGCGGTGTTAAAACGTGTGACTTGAACATCAAGTTACGTGTTTGGTCCACATTCGGTGCCTACTAAGCGCTGGTGGTCATTAATACTGTCTGTGGTGGGGCGATGCCCGGTGAAAGGCTTGGTGACCTGAAAGGAGGTGACCTCCTCATTTCATAGACTGGGAAACTGAGGTCAGAAAGGTTCAGTGCATTCCCTAAGGTTCCAGAAAGGCTGTAGTGAGCCCTTTCGCAGTGTGGCCAGCGCCAGCGGCTGCTCTGGGCTGAGTCATCTCCCAGAGGTGTGTGTCCAGCCCCTACTTCCGAGCTGCCCTTCACAGGAGGCCCGGCAGGCCAGCACTGCGCTGGGCTTAGCTGAGGTGCGACCTGCATTTGAACCTACTGCAGAGAAATAAGAGTGAGGGGACAGGGGGCTGGGTGAGGAATGGGAGAGCAGCTCTCCTTTCCCCTCTGTCCCTGCAGTCACCGTTCACCAGCTGGTGAGCAGGGCTTTCCACTCACATCCCCAAAGCAGATGCCCATGCCATAGGACTTTGTCATCCCTACTATAGGCTGACCTGGCAAAGGTCACAGAGGTAGCCCTAGATGAATCTCCTCTAACCAGAGCTCTCCTGGTGTGAGCACGCCCCCTACACACATCCACCCTTCCCCATCTAGATAGGGGCCAGAGAAGGCGAGGACTGCCTGGCACACACACAGCCAGGACAGAGGCCTAACTCATCATAACTCACTGACCCCTTGGGGAGGGAGGCCTCTTTCCTCTGTGATAAAAGAGCTGAGACTGGGTCACAGACCTGACCCGGAGGACAGAGGCATAGAAGGAGCTGGTAGAGAAGGGAGGAGTAAGCAGTATGTCTCACACACACACACATATACACATACACACAGGCAGGTCAGTCTCATTTAAGGGCTGTGTTCTGGGAGCCCTTGTCCCCTGCCTTCAGCCACAGTACCCCGGCATCTACTCCAGCACCTTCCTCTTGCCCCTATCAGCAAGTGACTTGTAGGCAGCCAGCCCCACCCTGCTCCTGGTGAGACCAGGTTGGCTCCAGCCAGTCGGCACAT